GGAGCATGATTCTAGTTGATTAGAAGTTCCTATTTCGGGGGGGTGTGTGTGTGTGTGTGTGTGTGTGTGTCCGTCCTCCTGCCAGAGTCCTGGCTGCGGCCCGGGAACGCACTTGGAGGAGGAGAGCGCTGGTTCTTCAATCCTGCTTGCCTCTTCAGATGTTTGTCCTGCCACTCGGCTCGCTCTTTGGGACAGCGTTGGCCCCGCAGCCCTGCAGGCGGGGGTGGAGAAAAGTTTAGAAAGTTCTGGGCTGTTGGGGGCCCTTCAGGGGAGTACGGAAGCCCCGCTCGGGAGGGGAGGTGGAGCTGGAGTGCTAACCTTCAAGAGGCCTCAGGTGTGCAACTAAACCTTCCGCGAGGAAGAACCCCGGAGAGGTGCTTCTGGTGAGTATTTATCTAGAACCATTAAGGGTTTACGGCCGAGGCAGCCAAGCAAAGCAAAGAGGCTTGAGAGGAGGCTTGCTTTGATGGCGCTCCAAAGGGTCTCTGGACCTAAACAAGCTGTAGTCCTTTATTTTAGCCTTTTAAAAAATATAATGCCGCCTTACAGGCTTTATCATGTGATGTTCTGGGCCAGTAATTGAAGAGAGCTCTTTTCCTGGCTTCTGCTTTAACTTTGAGTCATTTTGGCAAAATGAGCCTGTGGTTTTTTTCACCTAGAAAGTGGTGTTGGTGACCTTTGAGCTTTTTTTTTTTTTTTAAGATTTGTTTATTTTAGAGGTGGCGCAGGAGTGCACAAGCAGGAGGGGGAGCGAGGTGACAGTCCTTTCAAGCCTCTCAAAAAGTAGGGCACACGTGGAGGCCAGAACTTGGGTTTTCCAGCGTTGGGGGGGACCTCTGACGGAAAGGATGGGAAACAGACCTGGCAGGGTGGGGTTGTAGCCCTGAGTTTGGAAGCTGCCAGCCTTCTGCAGGACTACTACCGGGTTTTTTAAACTCTGTGTGGGTATTCTTCTTTCTTAGAGTATCTTAAGAAAATGTTTTAGGCTTGATCCCTTGGAAGATGCACCTTGTTTATTTTGTGGCTTTGCATAATCCCGGCTCAATTGTGCATAGTTTGAGGAGCATGATTCTAGTTGATTAGAAGTTCCTATTTCTAGGGGCGCCTGGGTGGCTCAGTTGGTTAAGTGACTGCCTTCGGCTCAGGTCATGATCCTGGAGTCCCGGAATCGAGTCCCACGTCGGGCTCCCTGCTCAGCAGGGAGTCTGCTTCTCCCTCTGACCTTCCCTCTCATGCTCTCTCTCTACCATTCTCTCTCTCTCTCTCAAATAAATAAAAATCTTTAAAAAAAAAAGTTCCTGGGGCGCCTGGGTGGCTCAGTCGTTAAGCGTCTGCCTTCGGCTCAGGTCATGATCCCAGGGTCCTGGGATCGAGCCCCCGCATCGGGCTCCCTGCTCCGCGGGAAGCCTGCTTCTCCCTCCTCCACTCCCCCTGCTTGTGTTCCTTCTCTGGCTGTGTCTCTCTCTGTCAAATAAATAAAAATCTTTAAAAAAAAAAAAAGTTCCTATTTCTACTACAATTAAGTATTATGTGATAGGCCCTGGAGGTCCAAGGAACACAGTTCGGTGGGCAAAAGAGAGAAAGAAATGTGATGCATTGGATCTGTGTTATGACGGGGCATAGAGGGGGCGTGTTGGGGTACACAGGAGAAACTGGTCACTTTTGTTTGGGAAGCTTGGGGAAGATCATGGATGACTTTTCCATTCAGAGTTTCTGGTGGCCTTGGGCTTGCACGTATGAATGCCCTTAAATTGGGGTTTAACAGGAAGAGGATTTGGGGCCTGGAGAGTGGAGGGAGCTTGCTGCCTGAAGGTGTTGGACCCGGGGCACCTGACTGTCCAGTTGTGCCAAAAGTTAAGAGGTTCAGTGTCTCCCTCACATGCCTCGTTGCACAGATTGGGGTTCTGGGTGATGTAGACTTGTGACCTCCTTTAAACCCCACAGCCGCTTAACACTGAGGTAGATGACTTGATAATGGACTTGATTTACAGAGACATTGAGAAATACTGATGTTTTCTGACTTGCTTGGGCCTAAACAGTCAATGACTATGTTTCTTGTGACCTGTGATTGATTTGAAACCCATCCAAGAACTTGACTGTTGGAAACGTTTCTCTCTTTGTTGCATACTTTAGTCCAAGAGTATACAGGCCTGGCATTACTTAGGCCACTTTGGGCATTATAACAGCAGATTCAGCTACTCAGAGACTAAGAATAAGGTACAATTCCAGATATGAAAATTGCTCCCTTCAATTCCCTCCGTCAGGCTGACAGAATGATTGGACGTAGAGAAATTATCCAGAACTGAGAAAGGAAAGAGACCATTGGTTTGAGAAGGGGAGAAGACATCCTATGTTTTACAAATGGAGATGTCTGGTCTGAAGAAGGAGAGACCTGGGTCTTTAATGACAGCAAGTGATTTTATTGGCGGCTCTGAAGGTGGGCCAGGCACGGGAACTGGGCAGGAAAAGTTGCAGTGCAGCCATTCCTGTGGAGCGCAGTCACTGCCCGAGCAGGGCGGATCCCTGGGGACCCGGAGAAACTCTTCACTGCCCCTCTGTGCACGTATTCCCAGCCTGCTCTTCTTCAGATGCCAGGAAACTGGACACACAAGCCACTTAACCGTGAAACTTAGTATTAACGAGCTACCATTTCTGAGGAGAATATCCAGAAAGAGGAAAGCCCACTTCCTGTCATAGTCTGTTAGATGCTCTGAACTTTCAGGAATCTTGTTTGCCATATAACAACTGACTGTATATAGGCTCTCAGTTTTGTTTTTATCTTTATTTTTGTTAGCCTCTCAATTTTAAATCTAGAGCTTTAGGTCCAGTGTCTACCTCTATGGCACAGATGACTGAAAGCCCGCAGAGCAGAGGCTCCAGGGAAATTGTTTTTTCCTCCGTGCCACGCAGCATGCTGGGCATTTAGGCTTTCCCCTGTTTGGTCATCCAGTTCCTTTGTAAGGTGGGTGTTGTGACTTCGATTTTATAATTAAGGAAGCTGATCCACAAAGCAGGCTACTTGTTCATTCACACTACTAGTTCTTCCCTGGTCATGTTTTAATAACTCCCTTTCGGGAGTTGACGAGGGTAATAGATAGTAAATGATGCAGTCTCTGTGCATACTTTGAAAAGCACCAGTTACCCATTCCCAGGAAATGGGTTCATCCAAAGTCATGGAGTGAGTGAAAACAGAACCTACTAGAGGACTAGAAGATACATCATCCAGGAGGCTTTGAACAGCCTTCCTTGTGGGCAAGTCTTTGCAGTAACTTTTGTCTTCACCTGTACGGGATGCACATATTTCATTTCCCAAACTCTAACCATAGAGTTAGACTTCAGCATGATATTCAGGAATACCTTCTCAGATAGAGCCCTGGAGGGAAAGGCAAAGTGAAACCGTGCTGTCCTTCCATAACTATCTCAGTGGTGATAGACAAAAAAAGGAAACCTATCTGTCATTCCTTTGGAATTACATATTGCTAGGTGGGCTAGCTTAGGCATCCTGGTCAGAATGTTGTTTTCAGCTGTTTTTATCCATTCCCGAAGTCTGGGGTGGACTACGTACGTTCTTTGAAGGGAAAGAACAAATGTGGCGCAATTGCCAAGATGGATATACCTGGGGTTGCCAAGCTTGTGCTCTTAGTGTTTTCTAAAAGGAGCACTATCCAGTAGAAATACAATGTGAGCCACAGAGGTGATTTTAAATGTCCTCGTAACCATACTAAAGTATAAACAGGCAAAATTAATTTCAATACATTTTTGTTTAATTTCCTATCCAAAATACATTTGAAAGTTTAATCCATATAAAAAGCCAAGATACTTTTACATTTCTGGACTAAGCCTTGGACAACCAGCGTGTATTTTTCACCTGGAGCCCGTGTCAGTTTGGACGAGCACATTCCAGGTGCTCAGTAACCACCAACAGCTAATACTGCCTTAGAGGACAGCACAATTCTAAAGCAGGTGAGTTCTTAGTTACGGTGTTTCCATAGTCCTTTGCACAAAATAGTTTCCTTCTCTGGGGAACTTGTCAGAACCTTTAGCATGCTGATTTTCACTGGGACTCTGTTTGGAGAGGGTGGGTAAGTAGTACTTGTGGACTGTTGGTAATAAAGCCTTTTAAGACGGGCGTGATGAGTTAGGGAGTTCTTCCCTCCCCCATGGGAGCATTCATGAGCCCAATTTCTACAGGAACACTCTTTCAGAAATGTTACCGTAGGAAGCCTCTTCCTTTGTCCTCCCTCCTCTCCCCTAGTGTGAACTAAAACTGGAGAAATTCTCCCTCTCTTGTCCGTGGCTGCCTTTAAAAGTTTGCCTTAGGACCACACATAGTTGGGGCCATCTTTCTAAGTAATGGAGGGGGCCCCAAGTTAACCTCAGGGCTTGTGAGTCTGTCTTTTGGTTTGCTGCCTGCCTGCGCAGTCATCTGAAATCCGTTTCCTCCAATCCAGATGGGTGAATCTAAGATGGGAGGGAGAAGATGGTTCTCTGCGGGGAGAAAGCAAACCCACACCCCATAGCTAGCACGAGCGAGAAAGCAGGAACGCTACCCTTGGTGGGAGGTAACGTAAACTGCCTTCTGGACCAGCCTGTTCTCTTGATTTGTCACTGGTTCCAAAAATGAGTGATTCATTTTAAAAGGCGGATGGTGACCGTGGTTGACCCTCCATTCGTACCTGGATGTGATAGAAGAAAGTGAGTGACTTTGGTGACAGTACGTACACT